GTCCCAAGAGGAGGAGATTCCAAAAGGATCTCCTTAAACCTTGGTTTTACGGCACTGGAGGCATTTGACAGGTCCTGAAAAATCTTTAAAGAGTTATGTAGGTGTCTCAGTCTGATGAGACTGGAATGTTTGCTAAAGAGGATGAGTTATGAGATAGACCAAACTTCTCTCTATCAGCAATTGTAAATTCGAAATTAAGGGGCTTTAATCGAGGAAGTGTGGAAAAACAGAAGAAATAACAACCCTTTATTAAAAGATATATGTATGTTGGCAAAAACAGTAACAGAACACAAAAAAACCCTAGACAGTAGTCCTAGAAAAAGAACACAAAAAAAGTCTGAATGAGTACTTCTCTGTCCTTTAGCGCAGTCCTAATCGTGGCCTGCAGGGGGCGCTGTTGGGTCGCTGGAGGTGCAGAGCCTACAGTACTCTGTCGTGGCCTGCAGGGGGCGCTGTTGGACTCTGGCGGTCACCACACGGGAAGGAGGGGGTCTGGGGGGTGGTCTCGGATCGTGGGAGAAGCAATGGGGGGACCCTTCCCGCCAGTGGGAGAAAAGGGAAAAGAAAGCAGTTCACCCCCACGAGACTCATTGTTGTCTCAGATGACAGTGTCTCTGGGTTCCTTCCCTCTCTCCCAGCGAGCATGGACTTCAATGAAAAACCCAGTAGGTTCCGGCTGGAGTCACAAGGCAGTGGCGGCACAGGGCCGGTGGTCAGACCTCACCAGGACGAAGAAACCAGAAAGACTGGTTCCCAGGCGTTTCCTCCAGAAAATGCCCGGACACAGTCCCTGTCTCCGTCCCAGAGAGAGAACTCCACAGTCTGTCTTTCTCCCCTCTCAGGAGTGTCCTCCATCCCCCAGCCTCTGATGGGCCATTAGCCAGGAATTTGACCAGATCTTTTGTAAAACTAATTGACTCCCTTCCCCCACTCACTCTGTTTTCCTTCAGTGGGGGGGCAGGGGGAAGAAAAATTCTCCTGGATTTTCTAACCTATAACAGTAGGATATCTATAAATATGTGGCCATTGCATGGGCTGCACCAAGGGGAGACTTGGCCGAAGTTTGACTCTTTTCAAATGAATACAGTGTTACAGCTTATGTCGATCCTCCATAAGGAAGTAGTGTATGCTGAATTGTTTCTGGTTTTTTTAAACCGTCTGGAATGGAAGAAGGAATATAAACCAGAGAAAGCCCTGACAGAGGCAGAGCTCTCTGTTACGACCCGCCCCAGGAAAAGGGGAGGGAGGTAACTCAGGTTTTTTATCAATACTTTCCTTGGGGTGGATTAAAGCGAAACGACACTAAATAATCGGTGTCTGAAAACATATATTGCCAAAATTTATTTTAACAATTTTGCATCATCAGGTAAGCCAGCGTTTTGGGTGTTGTCATATAACGATGCAACATAAAGATAACCTTTGGGGGGGGGGAAATGCACAGGGGAGAGAAAACAGGATAAGAGTAAAGAAAAGATGAGAGTGAAAAAGAAATGTATATAGTCACCGCCCACTGGATCCCGCCATGCAGCTTGGCAACCTTGAGAGCGATGGTCACTCACTGAAGTCAGCAATGCAGCTTGGCAACTTTGAGAGCAGTGGTCACTCAGTGGATCCAGGAATGTAGCTTGGTAATCTTGAGAGCGGTGGTCTTGATCAGCAGGCGGTGGGGGAGAAGGAAAAACCCCCACACTCCAAGGAGCTGTGAGTTATTATATCCATGATCAGTGTCACGGGCCATGTCTCAAGCCTCCAGCCTCTCCCTGGGCTTGCACAGAGCTTCCGGGTCTGGCCTGGTTCCCGCCTTTTTAAGATTGGCAGAGAGGGGGGTGGGCCCAGCTGCCCATCTGAGGTATCTTCTTGCCTTTTTAGGGTTCAACACCTTCAGCTCTGAAGGGAGGGATGGACCCAACTGCCCATCAGAGGCATAATGCAAAAGTCAAAAGCCTGCAAAAGTCCCTTGGCAATCCTAGAATGCATAAATCATTAACTATTTCAGTCTCTGACACTCTCAGAAATGGCTTTAGAGAGAGGAAAGAGGAGACACAGTGGCGGTCTGAAAAATAAAAACTAGACGATTCCAGCATGGGGAAAACTGGAATGTTTTATTGAACATGAGAACACAATTTTAAAGGCATCAGGGCTGGATATGTTAATGAAGGGGACAACCTATGTTAACTAGGGAGTTACACAAGTTTTTACTGCAATTTCCAAATAGTTAATTTTTCTTCAAGCAGGATTATATGGGGAATAGAGGGATTACAAGGGTTTAGACATGGTTTTAACAATCATCTCAAAAAGTCCTTTCTTAATTCTACTAGGAACCAGGTTTATATCTCAGGGTTGCACATCAACAGGTCTCAGGACAAGGGTCCAAATTTCTTCAGATCACGAGATGTTTCTCAGCCTTGTTTTCCAAGGTTTGTGATTCAAATATACTGAGCTTTCTTTTGCTGAGAGCTGGGTTTGGGTTCCTACAAGACACCGTGGCAAACATGATCCTATCAGTCAAATTTATGTTAATAGCCTGACAAACGAAGATTTAGATCTTTTATTGCTCCCGATTTGAGAGGGGGAAGCCCAGGCGCCGCCGGACAGGCCAGTGCTGCTGTGGGACAGGCTAGTGCTGGGCCTGCTGCCAGAGTGGCGGGCACAGGTCCTGCTGGATCGACGGGGACTGGACCGGTGGGAGCGGCTGCTACCAGAGCAGCGGCGACGGGAGCTGCCACCATGGGACAAGTGGGGACTGAACTCCCTGTGTACACTGCGGTGGGAGCCACTACAGAGGGTCCTGGGGGGAGTAGTGCTGTTGCAGGGGCCGCCGCGGACACAGGCACAGGCACAGACCACTCCCTGGTTGCGATCGGCATGGATATGGGCCGCCTTGTGTCTGAACACTCTGTGGCTACAAGCGGCACCAAATCGGCTACCCAGGATACCTTGGTAGCCCAGGATATTTTGGCAGCTATGGTCAAAGTGGCTGCTGATGCAGGAGGCGGAGCGGAGATGGCTGTTGCCCCCCCAGTAGACACCAGCACTTTGGGCTTCGCCATTATGGGCGGAGTCGGAGCCGCCTCTTCTGCATTTCAACTTACAGTCCCCTACGGACCTTACCCCCCCACCGGGTATGCTGGGGGCGGGGTCATTCCAACCTCCCTCCCCCCACCAGTATGCAAGTTTTCCCATTCTGGAAGGGGAGGGTTGTGCATCCAGGGCTCGCATTCCCAGCTTTTCCCCCATATCATCAGGGAACGGGTTCCCTGAGGAGGAGGAAGGCACCCCTGGCCTCCAAGAGGAGGCAAAGGCAGAGCCTTCCCCTCTTTGACCCCTCGAGCATGAAAGTTAAAACTATGGATAGTGATTTCACTGACACAGATACAGAAGCCTCTGAGGAGGAAGGAGCTCCTGTAGTAAAATCAAAAACAAATGGAAAAGTTTCCACTGCAACTGCGAGGGGAAGGGGGAGAAGGGTTCATGAGGATCTGTTGGATCCAAGCCCAGTGGCCAGGAGAACTAGAACTAAAAAGGGAAAAACTGTTATAGAGGCTCCCCTGAGACAGGCCATGGGTAACCAGGGACCAATTTTGATGAGTTCCTTTTTCTTTGCTTGAGTTACATTAATGGAAAGCCTCAGTTGGGGAATATAGAGAGAATCCAGAGAAGGTAGTTAATTGTGTAGAAAGAGCAATAAGATCACAAAATCCAGACTGGTATGATCTAGAGGCTATAATGGATACGTTACCTGACAGCATGGAGAAAGAAACTACACCCAGTAGTGGCCAACCCCTATACCTTATTGACCACATTAACAGATGATTTAGGGTGGTTCACTGTGCTTGATCTCAAGGATGCCTTCTTCTGCATTCCCGTGCATAAGGACAGTTGTGGTGGGTTGACCTTGGCTGGACACCAGGTGCCCACCCAGTCGCTCTATCACTCCCCTTCCCAGAGGGACAGTGGAGAGAGTAAGGTGGGAAAAAAAGAAAACAACTCATGGGTTGAGATAAGACAGTTTATTTAAAGCAAAAAGCAAAGCGAAGCTTGCCCACGCCGAAGTGAAAGATAGCAGGTTTTCTTCTCTACTTCCCATGAGCAGTGATGGTCGACCACTCCTGAGAAGCAGGGCTTCAGCACGCGTAACAGTTTCTCAGCAGGCAGCCACTGGAGACAATGAATGCCCATCCTCATGCTCTGTGCCTTAGCTTTTATATCTGAGCTGATGTCATATGGTATGGAATATCCCTTTGTATATAATATCAGCAAAAATTCAGAATTAGTTGCTTATAAATCCTGGCTGCCTAAGAAGCTGAATTAAAACTAAATGTGATTGTTCTAACCAATGTTATTTGAGAAACAGGATTGAAGAATGCTCCAGTGTGGTGGTTTGGGCTAGGCCTTCCTTGGTGACCAGTTTGTAACCAAGGAAGGGTCCAGATTTACCCAGTATTCCCTACGATTTTTACGTAAGCCAGACTATAAGAAGAGAGGAGGAGAGGCCTTCACTCTCTTTCCTTCCGGCGGCTTGGAGGTGCAGGTTCCCTGCTGTTGAGTCTGCCGTGTTGGGGAGCGAGGCCTGGCTAGGCCTTGCCGACCTTGGGAGACAGAGGTTGCCGGCGATCGTTCCGGAGCGACTCTCGGTTGTCCCAGGAGAGTAGTGAGATATCTTCTTTGCTAACTCTTTTGTTCTTTAGTTACTAGATCTCGGGCTACTGATTGGGATATATATATATATATATTTTATTTTAGTTTTGTTCCTTTTCCCCTTCCCCTTTCCCTTTCCCTTGTGAAATTGTATATAAGTGTAAATATATTTATATATATCAGTTTGGTTGTCCTCTCTCTCGTTTTCGGGTTTTTCTTAGTTTTTTTTTCTCCCTCTTCTCCCTGAGGTTTTTTTTTGTTGGGGGGGGGGGGACTTCTGGTGGTAAGGTTTGGAGACTTGGCAGGGAGCCAGCTTCAAACCATATCATCCAGAAAGGATTCAAAAAGACTAAGCCATGGAACCTATCTCCGACAGAGAGAATTACACTGCAAAGAATCATCACTAGGCCTTCAGCCTCAAAGAAAAACTGCGAAATTACCCACAACACCCACTTAAAACTGACTTAAACACTTATGCAAGTAAGCCCACGAGACAAGTGAAAGTAAAAATAAGATCAAGTGGCGTATATAACACATAATGTGTAATTTCTCTTGATGTTCCTTAATCGTCTCCTTTGGAATGCTCTGTATATAATACTGCCTTATTAAGAAAACATTTTACACATCAGATGAATATTTTAAAATACAAATAGGGGGAAAGAGACTATGCAGGCACATAAACAGATGCTAAATCAGAATAGATCTCATTTAAGTTTGTTAGGCTTTATATTCCTTATATTAATTCCTTTTCAAACAGAGTACAGTTGTTGACTACAAAAAATGACAAATCGAGAAGTACACAACCAATAACTACTTAAAATGTAAAATGTATAATTAAAATATGAAAGTATAATAGAAATTCCAGCTATGCGTGAGTGAAGGATGACTGAGGTGGCCATCTATTGAATGACTGGAAAAAGACTGTATGACAGAGAGAGAAACTGTGTAAATATATATGTGTGTGGACTTAAAAATACTTTACATGGGGTGGAATTCCGTCCTTATTATAAAATACTGCATTTTCATTTTGGTAATCATTGTAGTTGTGCTATTGATGATACCTTGCTTGATCACCCTGTTGCAAAGGGCCCTGCAGTAGACTGTCAAGGCCATCTTTGTGGCATAAATACAAAAAGGAAGAATTGTCGGGGTTGACAGCAGGTCTGTTGGAAGGAAGACAGAACTGCAAAAGCGGATATCCTGAACGTTTTGCAAAATCATCGTGAACCTGCAAGAGCTAAGTCACTGTGAGTCTGCGAATGCTGAATCATTGTGAGTTTGCTATAGGGCAGCCAATCCTGATGTACGTTTATGTGGGAACACCAATTGTGGTGTGGCATGTGTGCTATACCAGGGGGTATAAATGTCAGTAATCTGTTGCAATAAAAGTCCTATTTCTTGGAAGAAGACTGTTTCTGTGTATTTCTTGACTGCCACAACAACATCCTGTCACCCCAGAAATGGAAATAGTCTCCAGCCCCACTTGTCCTGATGGCATTAACATGCATTGAGCACCAGTGTCAACCAAAGCCTGGTATTCTTGTGGGTCTGACATGCCAGGCCATCGGATCCACACAGTCCAATAGACATGGTTGTCCCATACCTCTACCTGTCTAGAGGCAGGGCCCCTAACACTGGTCTTGTTTGGGGCCATCACAGCTCTTTCCCTGTGAATACATTCGGGAGGTACCTTCTAGCTGGTCAGATCCTTGCCCATGGGATATCAGTACTGCACTTACTCTCACTGACTTCCCTTTTTCTCCCTCCTTTAGCTCTTGTACTTGGGCTGCTAGGGCGTGTGTAGGTTTCCAGTCCCACTGTCTCATGTCTTCTGCGTGGTCGACTACGAAGTACCACAGCTCAGTTTGTGGGGTCTGTCCACTCTTTCTAGCTGGAGTGTGTCTGACTCTGACCTCAGAGGCTCTGGTTTGCACTGATGCCACGTGGAAGCTGTTTTCCTTAACCTCTTCTCTAAGTTTTTTCTGTTCATCTTTTACTTCTGTAATCAGTGCCTTGAGACCCTCAACCAATGTCTCTATAGTGGAGATATGTGTCCATAACAGTGGATGGACCAGGCTGTTGTACATTCTGAGTTTATTCGTTAAAGAGCCCACTGTCTCTCTGTTTTCTTCAAAATGCAATGATGCCAGAAAACTGGTGCATACAGGTGGCCCCAGGTGTGAAAGGCTCCACCACATCTGTGATATACACCTGACTTCATCAGGGTTGTTGTTGGGTTGCCTGTCCTTTTCAAAAAGTATCTCTAACGGTGCCATTTCTCTCAGGCGTTGGATACCTTCCTCCATGGTCTTCCAGGTTGTCTCATAATGGTGCTGCTGAAGGAAGTCTCTGTAAACAAACTTCTCTCTCACACCTGTTAGAAGTCACTCCCAGAGAGAAAGGGGCTTTGACTCCCTCATGAACACCTGCTCAATACCCACACCCAGAGATCCGAAATACCTTGCTTCATTGCCATCAAGTGGCAAACCTTCACCCATAAGGTTCCACACTCGCATCAACCAGGTCAAGATGGGCTCACTTTGGCATCGAGTTACGTTTTTACACAAATTGCGGAGCTGGTCATATGACAGGGATTCTGTAATAATCTCAGGTTGTGGTTCCTCTGCTGTTTGTGAAGGCCCTGGTTCCCCATCCTCGTTAACTGGGTGTATCAACTTGGCTTTATACTTTTTCCTTTGCACTGGGACCACTTCTGCTGGTTGTGACTTCCTTTCTGACATGACTGGGGACTGAGCACTTGTGATGTGTATTGGTTTCTCTGCTCCACTATCTATCTTTCCCTTCTGACTGTAGGTGATGTTGTACAGTCAAGACCATGGTGCGGTAAGTGTTGGCTAAGTTCAAGTACATTGCTGTGAGCTGTCCATCTCTGGAATTTATGGACCGATGTTCTTTCAGGCACTCATCGACCTTACAGAGGATCTATGTTTGGTCAGGGGAAAGCTTCCAAACAATCGGGGGAGAATATTCCTTCAGCACTCAGCCTATCTCCTCCCATGCTTCCATCCAATCAGGGTGATTTATGTCTGGGGCAGGCTGTTGGGCAGTGGCAGGCTGTTGGGCAGTGGCAGGCTGTTGGGCAGTGGCAGACTGTTGTACAGGTTCCTGGGTAGGATCCCTAGTCTCTGGGGTAGATCTTGGGCCAGCTGCCCAAGACAACCTCACCCTGTCTCTAAATGCTGGATAGGCCTCACTGAACAAACACAGCTAAAACATCATCAAGAATAGAGTATCTGTAATGTCTAGAGGGAATTTCAACCCTTTGAAAGCTATTGTGGTAGGGTCAGAGGAGAAGTGGGTAAAGGGTTGGGAGTAAGCATTGCCCTGCCTTCCTCCCCCAAAATAGGTACCATTATCAGTAAAACCCCAAGAATAGGAACCTAGGTGGTGATAGTAATACAGCCATGTATATATATTCCAAAGGAGAGTTACAGGACCAGAATTCTTTACCCACTGGACCCAGTTTACAAACTTGACAGCAGCCACAATTATGTTAGCCATGGTGCCTGTGTTTAAACAGTGATCCATAAATGGAAAAACCGCAAACATGGCCATAGGCCAAAAGAAATTGGACCACATGATGATGCCTAATGGGGTCTCTATACGCAATATACAGATGGATTACTCAAAAACTGTTACCCCCTTTTCCACTCTTTCACTTGTGCCCCACATTGGGCGCCAAAATTTGTCATAGTTTAACAAGACAAAAAAGCCTGCCAAGGAGGGCGGAATAGGAAAAAACCAAACTCCTCCCTCTAAGTTATTATAACTTTGAAATTAAGAGACTTTAGATGAAAAAGAGTGGAAAAGGAAATAACCGCTCTTTACAATATACATATATATATATAGTTGCCTAACGTGCAGTGTACCTGAAGATATGTGGTAACACAGTGGAGGAAGAATAAGGTCAGGGTGGATAGTAGGGTTCCTTTAGAGTGATGGGGGTCCCGGCTAGGCTGGGGCCTTGTAAGACACCCCAGCCTTGGATGGGTATGGGGCCCAGAACGGTTGGTTTGCTTAGTTTGTTTGTTTGTTTTTGGCTCACCTGCGGCTACTGCCCAGGTACAACATGTTCTGGATATATTTGCTTTGCTCTGTTACATCCTGAAAGGGTGGACAGGACAAAGGGTTGTTCCTGGGTATCTCCTTGAGATTGTACATAGATAGGTGATAGTAAAGTAGGAAATGAAAGACTTGCCCAAAACGTTCTAACAGGTACATAGCCTGTGTACCCCTATGTGGTTGCGAGCTATGCTGGCGATGGTACATGCCTTCGGTAGGGTCACCCATGCCAGACAGGTCAAAACGGTAGGTCCAGATACACTACATTCTTGGGCAGGATGAGCTCGTTAGCCTTCTGGCAGTCATCCTAGGAGAAGGACAACTCGAATCCCAAACCCAGGCAGATGGAGCTCGCTTAGCCCTGTAAGGCCATCCATCTAAGAGAAGGTCACTCTAATCAAACCTACGTCCTGAGGACCTCGCTGCCACCATCCAAGATCGCTCAGCCCTGGCAGATGAACCTTAGGATTAAAGGGTGGGTTCAGTTCCGTGCATACTGCATCTCACCTAAAAAAATCCATTGCACAGGCTTGAAGGCTTTACCCACATGCAAAAAGTCCTGCAACCACAGGCGAGGGTCGAAACGGCAGGTGAAAGGTGCACTGGAAGCCACAGACTCAACCCTGCATGCAGACAGTTCAGGATATTGGTCATTTGAGACTGACCGGAGATGACAGTCTCTTGGAGTAGCACCCTGAATGACCAAGTAACCTTCTCAAGGACAGCACTGCTTGCTCCACTTGGAGAGGGGCCTAGAAAAGGTGATCTAAACAAAGTTCATCTCCACCTTCACCCAGTTGGTTAACCGCAGAGCAACGGGTATCTTCTTCCAATGCGGTCGCACAAAGAGCAAAAGACAAAGGCATGCACCTGCCTCCATAGGTGTACCTAAATTAACTCTAACATGTGGGAACATCAGAACCAGGCTCGATTCTGCAGATAGCGGACATCCTGAGTGACGTTCTGCCCTAATTGCCCATGAACTGACTCGTCTCAACATCGACATTGCTGGTCTCAGCGAAGTTCGCCTTCACGAGGAAGGCAGCCTCAGAGAACATGGTGCCGGTTACACTCTTTTGGTCAGGTAAGCCCAGAACCGAAAAACATCTCTCAGGAGTAGGCTTCATGATCAAAAACTCTATTCTTCCCAAACTCGAAAATCTGCCGACAGGTCACTCTGACCGCATTATCTCCCTACGCCTTCCACTAATCAACAAGCAACACGTTGTCCTCTTTAGTATATATGCTCCAACTCTCCAAGCTGACCCTGTCGAAAAAGATAAATTTTACACTGACCTGCGCCTCCTTACCCAAAAGGTGCCTGCAGAGGATAAGATCATTATCCTTGGTGATTTCAATGCCAGAGTAGGTAAGAATTTTGCAGCCTGGAAAGGAATATTAGGCAAGCATGGTGTTGGAAACTGCAACAATACTGGTCGACTTCTGTTAGAATTCCATGCGGAGCAGCAGCTCAACATCACTAATACTATCTTTCAGCAGAAAAACAGTCCGAAGACAAGCTGGATGCACCCCAGATCTAAGCATTGGCACCTCATTGATTATGTCTTGGTGCGACAGAGAGATGTCCGCGATGTCCACCATACCTGCGTGATGCCCAGCGCAGAATGCCAAACAGACCACAGGCTTGTGCGTTGTAAACTCAACTTCAATCTCAAATTCAAACCTAAAAGGGGCAGCATCCCAAGGAGAAGACTCCAAGTTAACATTCTCCAATCAGCCACAGTGAGAGACAGATTCCAGGCAAATCTTCAAACTAGGCTTGAAAACCATTCCACAGATTCTGCAGATTCCTCCCCTGAATCAATTTGGCACCATATTAAAAACAGCATCCTGCAATCCTCCGAAGAATCTTTAGGTTTCTCCCTCAAGAAGAACAAGGACTGGTTTGATGAAAACAATCAAGAAATCCAGGATTTGTTGAGGAAGAAGAGAACCGCTCACCAAGCACACCTCACAATGCCATCCTGTCACGCAAGCAAAATACCCTTTTGTCTTGCATGCAGTAAGCTCCAACAGAAACTCCGTGACATCCAGAACAAGTGGTGGATCGATCTAGGTGCAAAAACTCAACTATGCGCAGATACGGGTGATCACAAAGGATTCTATGAGGCTCTGAAAACAGCATACAAGCCTACATACCAGGTCCAAAGCCCTCTACTCAGCACTGATGGTCAAACGCTTCTAACAGATAAAACCTCCATTCTGAATCGATGGTCTGAACACTTTCAGACTCTTTTCAGTACCAACCGTGTAGTCCAAGACTCAGCAATTCAGTCCATCACACAACAACCAGTGAAATACGAATTGGATACTGCCCCCACTTTAGGAGAAACCCTCAAGGTCATACAGCAGGTGAAAATCGGCAAGGCAGCTGGGGTTGATGGAATCCCACCCGAAGTCTGGAAACATGGGGGCCTTGCACTCCATGCTAAATTTCATGAGTTTGTCGTGCGCTGTTGGGAACGAGGCGAACTACCTCCAGACCTTCGTGATGCAGTCACCATCACCTTGTATAAGAAGAAAGGAATTAAATCAGACTGCTCAAATTACCGTGGTATTACTCTGCTCTCCATTGCTGGCAAAATCCTGGCAAGAATACTCTTGAACAGACTAATGCCCGCTATAGCAGAAGGAATTCTACCTGAAAGTCAGTGTGGTTTCAGAGCCAACAGGAGTGCCACAGACATGGTATTTGTTCTCAGACAACTGCAAAAGAAGTGTAGAGAACAGAACAAAGGTCTTTATGTAACCTTTGTCGATCTCACCAAGGCTTTCGATACTGTGAGCAGAAAAGGTCTTTGGCAGATTTTGGAACGTTTAGGTTGTCCCCCCAAGTTCCTTAAAATGATCATCTCACTCCATGAGGATCAGCACGGCCAAGTCAGATATGGTAACACACTTTCTGAGGCCTTTCTAATAAAGAATGGTGTGAAACAAGGCTGCATTCTCGCTCCTACCCTTTTCAAAGTCTTTTTCAGCATGATGCTCCAAAGGGTCACGGCAGACCTCGATGATCAGGACGGTATCTACATTCGATATCGTATTGATGGAAGCCTATTCAATCTAAGGCGACTGAAGGCCCACACCAAGACCTTAAACCACCTTGTCCGG